TCGCAAAGCACGCGCGATTCCACATCGCGGTTCACACAATTATGGACCCAGTGTTGGCTGGGCTGTTGGTGCTTGGAGTGGTGGAGACCTACTTGTCTCCGATCCTGGTGGATGTGCAACATATATGGTCAATGATGGCAACTGCTCTGTTGCTTCGCTTGGTCAGATTCTTCGAGGCCGCTTTCTGGATGTCCGACAGCTTTGTTGCTTTGATGGCAATGTGATTCATGCCACAATGCCATTTCAAGGAGAACGTATCATGATGGTCTTTTCTGTGTTAAGCAACACGTTCCTGTTTCACCACATGCATCTTGTCTCTCTTTTGCTCGCTTCCTCGGTCTCCGCATCCCGGTTCTCCCCCCTGGTGGTCCGTCTTTCTGTCCTTCTTTGTTCTCCGCTCCTCCTCTTCCTCTTCCCTCCTGTTCGTCTCCCTCTTTTTCTTTCCCTCCTCCTTCTTCCTCGTTTCCTCTTCCTTCGGCTGCGCCCGGCTCTCCCCCTGTGTCTCCTTCTTCTTCTTTTTCTTTTTCTCCCGCCTCTTCTGTCGCCTCTCTTGCTTCGTCTTCTTTCTTGCTTCCTTCTCCCCCCTCCCCTGCGTTCTCCTGTTCCTCCGGTTTGTCGTCTTCCGTTTGCCTTCGGTCTTTTTCGTCCCTCCCCTCCTGTCCCCCTTCTTCTGATTTCTCTTTTTCATGCTCTGACGCTTTCTCCGCGGATTACGAGGATGTGAGTGACATGTCGTGAGACTTGCGAAAACAGATTCTGCATCTGCGATGGTTTTTGCGCATGTTGGATGCATTTCTGAGGCTTGTGATTCCAATCATGACATGCAGCCCTCACTTGGTTGTGCTGTAGTGCTTTTTCCTCTCTCGAGCTTCAGCCTTCGTGTACTAGATACTATTGCCACATGAAAAAACGCATCGCTCGACACTTTGTCCAATATCTTGGAGTTCGTTCTTCCAGCCCCGACCAAGATGACGTTTCTCACATGGCTGGACGATACTGATGACGTTGAAGAACTTGAACCCATCACTGAATCGGTGCTCGCATACCAATTCCTACGCCGGAACATGTGCAATTTTCGTTTGTCCTCCACTGTTCAGAAGCTGTTGGGAAGTGATGTGCAGTACATCTCAGTGAAGTTCAATCAGCCGAATGTGATCCTATGCACCATCCTTGGCGCCCTCAACACACGACACTTGCGAACCGCCCTGAGTCTTGTACAGGACAGACTTCGCGTCAATCTGTATTCGTTGCCCAAGGTAGCTCTGCACGCAGTGTTGTCTGTATATTGGACCTGATGGTGAAGAGGTTGAGGTTGAATTTCAGCTTGTGTATAGGATGCAGTTCCAGTCGGTGCGCAACCCTTTGCGCTGATTCTCAACCGCTAAAGCCTAGACAAATTTGTGCGCCTGCATGTGTGCTGGACATGGTTCCTCCTTGCACTTGTTTCTTCGTCCGCTGCTTGATTGACGTTTTTTTGGTTCAGGCTCTTGAGTAGTTTCATACGCTTCTGGCTTTGTGTTCATGTCGGAACTGCAATGTGCCAATGATCGTATCTTTGGGCTCCTCACTCTACGACACCACCTCTACTCTTCTCATCAGCCGGACACACCAGTGCGCAGTGGAACCCCCGTCTCAGAGGACACGCACGACTCCATGTTTCGTCAAGGAATGATTGCTCAAGAACGTATGTTCATGACTGGAAGATGCAATTCCGACCAGATTCGCCACAGGCTTCAGCTGTTTCAGTCACGGATTTCACACTTTGAGTACACGCTGCACCCGACGTATGTCCAGAACATGGCTTCGCATGTGACCCTTTCCTATGTTACAGTTGCGCTCCCTCAAATGGTCATTTGTGCATCAGTTTGCCGACGGTGGAATACCATGATTTCGCAGACAGTTCGAGGAAGCTTTATGGTCGATCAATGGAGTCAGGCACCTGTGGAAGACAGATTCAGCTTTCGTGCCGAACTACTGACGGAGTTCCGCCTGGTTCTTCTTAGAAGCCCCATAACGAGTGTCTGTCACTGACCACTTGTGACACGCCGCGATGCTACTCCTAAAAATTTCAGCTTCTTCAGAGTTGTTTCTGTCTGGTTGCTTTGCAGGTAGACAGGTTGCTCATGTCTGTTTGCGCTGTCCATGCTCGAGCATAGCTTGTAGATCTGAACCCATGCCGTGCTGTGTTACGACTGTATGGAGGGACAACCCAGTTCGCAACCTCACTATCTCCTTTCTCATGGTCTGCAGCGTTGTACATGTCAGTTCGAATCGATGTAGCGACCCTCAGCATTGCCGGTCCTTTCAACATGCACACTGGCAACAATGGCGTACAGATGGAATGGGACGATGTTTTCAGCCACACAACTTTGACGGCTTATCCAATGAAGTTGCTACGTTCCGTTTTACTCATCTGCTTCCACGAAGCAGCAAAACCCTCTTGCAGATATCGGTACATTGCCGGGCTATGACATTGCGGCATGTCAAATTTCTGATGAGATTGAGAATCAGCGCCGCTTCAAGCTTGATCCTACATGCTCGTATGACGTCATGACAATTGTTGCATGTTGGTGCCAACTTCATCATGTTTCCTTTTCAGCGTGTAACTTTCCCGCTGTACAGGTCAGAGTTTTGTAGTTATTTTTGGGCTTTAGGTGTTTGCACAAACCATGTGCTTTCGATGATTGATTCCTGGCTGCCCGCGTTGTCTAAAAGTTGCGACTCGCACCATAGGCGGTGCTTTTCTCAGTGCCGATTCAGTCAGAGGGCTTTTAACCAGTTTATGTTGCTGTCTTTGGTCCAAGACTGATTTGATATGATGTCCAACCCTTTGCCGCGGCCCAGTGACATCATCAGGAGCCTGGACAGTGAACAGGTGAAGGCTCTTTTTCAGATTCTGGGACATGAACGGCACACACACAGAAGCTACTGCGTCACTTGAGGCGCCGCATCCAGGCCGACGCGGATACAATTATTTCGGATCAACTGCACAGAGATTCGATGGTGGCTGCCAGACGGACGCAGGGTGCTCCTGCTCATGATGTCTCTCATATGGAGTCACTCCTCCTCCTCCTCCTCCTCCTCCTCCTCCTTCCTCTCCTCCTCCTCCTCCGCCTCCTCCTCCTCCTCCTCCTCCTCCTCCTCCCCCTCCCCCTCCCCCTCCTCCGTGTCTGTTCTTCCTTCTCCTTCTTCCTCTTCTTCTCCTCCTCCTCCTGGCTTTACTTCACGTGTCTTTCCCGTACCGAATATCTCTCAAGCTGAGCGCAGTGATGATGAGCCGACTACAGATGCGGAGTCGGATGCCCCTCGGGTTGATCCGCTCAGACGTTCTGCGTTGCCTCGAAGACGTCAACCAGCTGTTGCGACTGGACCGAGAGTTCGGCGTTTGAGTGATGCGCAAGTTCGTGAACGTTCTCGATCGCAGTCGGGCTTATCTGTTTCACCGGGCGGATCCTATAACTTACGTTGATGATGGCGTTTCATCATAAAACGACAGCTATGCAAGTGCAAGGGATTGAGTGAGCCGGTTGTAGCATTGGCTTGTCCGCATGCAACGTCTTTTGTCTAGCAGTCTTCGGCTCAATAAACAATCATGAAGCGTTCCGCAAGCATGGCGGCTTTACCGGATCTTCGATCGTATGCCAGGATTCCAGTTTCAGTTCCTCCGGACTTTTGCACTGGAGGTCAGACATTTACCGTCTGGATTCAAGTGCCCACGGACGGCCGGATTGACGATGTCAAAAGACAGTTACAGCAAGCTATTTGGGAACGTACAGGAATGGCTCCGAGGCTCAATGCCTTCCAGCTGAGGCAGTTTGGATGACATCTTCCCTACACGGCATCAGTATCGTGTGTCTCCGCATTCCCGAGCACCTTTGAGCCTCTCACTTTTGTAAGAACGTGGCCACATGAGTAGTGGGCGCCGAGCTGTAGACTAGGTTGGTTTTTGGATTCAGATTGACGTGAGTAATCTTGCTGAAAAATCGTATTCCGTGCTGTGCAGCTGAACATGTGGAAGAGCTTGGTTGCACTTGAGAGTTTTTTGGCTTTCTTGCCACAACTTATCTCCATGAGTGTGTGTGATGCAGGCTGCTCAAGTGTGAACAACTGCCTCTTTGCTTAGCCATGTCGTCTGGTTCGACGAGAATTGAGCTATGAGCCAGGGTCGCGTCTGCAGAGTGATGTATGCCTCGAGGATGCTGCGCAGCAATCCGCTGCAAATATTCTTGACGTACTGCGGGCCAACAATATTCGCCCGCATCATGTTATTCGAGTTATACTTCGGGTGGTTGAGGTTCTTCGAGATTCCCCAGAGTATCAACAGTTTGCCATGCGATGTTCGGGAATCTGCTCACACCAGGATTGTGGTCGTGTGTGCACGCACTGATGCCGACCATAATCATTGCCGGTGCTTTCAACATCAGATGAGTGATCTTCACAACCGGTATAGCAAGAAGCGTAAGTTCATTGAATGTGACGGCCATGTGCTTTACGGTGCGCCAATGCAACGCTTTCGACAAATGAGCTGATCAGTGTCCGTGCTGGAGTGAACCAGCAGGTTGAGTAGAGGATGCAAGTGGAGTGATCAGGTCCCCTGCAAAACTCAACCCAGCCATAGCTCACACAAGGCGGAGATTTTACGCACAAGAAGAAAGCAAGCAAAAAGAAGTCTGTGCTACTTGGGCTTGGCACCTACAGATATGGTACATGTGTTGTTAAAATGTCATGCTCAAGGCGTTCTGTGCTTGGGCCTAAGAGCAACAAGGAAAAAGATTCCGCATGTACACATAGCAAAGGCTTGCAAACGAGGCATGCACTTCAGCACTCCTCCTTCGCAGCCCCGCCAGGGAGTTGCGACCTACTTGCTACTGCAGGTCCAACCCGTCAGGGTGACGACACACCTACCCTGAACTACCTGGCAAAAGCTGGGCCAACTGCCCTCACTATGCGAGGGCTCTCAAGGCACCTCGTGTAGGAAAAAGACACAGCTACGGATGAGCTCACTGAGAGATCCAACCCGTTAGGGTGGAGTAGTTCCTACCCTGTGCTGTGCTGGGTGCTGCCGTGGCACTGCTGGCACACTTGAAACTCAACAAACCTGTGCGAGTGGGCGAGCGTGGAACAGGTCTTAGTGCGGTGGAGCTTGGTCCCTTCGGGGGTTGCAAAGTAACGCGTTGGTGCTCCACCTGCCTGCTCACGCGTGCGAGTTGTTTGTGAGGGACGGCGTCTGGGCGCTGCAGCAACAAACTGCGAGCTTGCTGCCTCCTCACGTGCAGAGATCTCGGCCTGGATGGCCTGCGCAGTTTGATCTCGAAGGCGCTGTAACTTGCGCGCCTTGCGGGGGCTCAGAGACAACACGGGTGTCCCTGCCTCTCGGCGGGAGATGACGCCTTGAAGGCACCACTTGAAGAACTCCCACACTGCAATGAAGCAGATACCAATGCAGATGATGGATACTGCCAACATCAAATCTGCATCAAGCGACACGGGGAGAGACAAGTCTTCTTCCTCGTCCGTTGTCTGGCTGGCAGCACCTACGACCTGAAAGAAGGCGAGCAGGACAGCGAAGGCACTCAGCTGCAGGTCTTGCTGCGCCACGGTCCCAGTGCCCACAGCTTGAGTTTCACTGTAGGCCTGAGCTTCCGCCCGGCGAGGTACGCCATGCTCGCGCAAACCCCAGATGGCTGCGAGCTCAAGGATCCTCGCAGATGGCAGCGCCTTCGTCAGAAGATCTGCGGCCTGCTCAACTCCTGGGCAGTAGACAGGGATGATCTCACCAGACTCATACTGCTCTCGAAGGTAGTTGGCGCGCACCCTTAGGTGGCGGGTTCGCCAAGACCCTTGGCCGATAGCGATGGCCAGTGCAGACTGTGAGTCAACCCTCAAAGTCTTGTCGAAGCTCGAAACCCCGAACTCGCTCAGCATGGCCTCTGCTGACTGAAGGGCAACTACAGCGTCAAGTCCAGCAACAAGCTCGGCTTCTGCGGTGCTGAGGGTGACAAAAGACTGTCGTGCTGAACGCCAGCACACCGGCGACCCGTGAAGGAAAACCACCCACCCCGTGTGAGAACGATTCCCTTCCGGCGCATAGCTGGCATCACTATACGCGATCAATCCTGTGTCATCCGCATCAGCGGTGAGAGCCAGCGCCTTGGTACGCTGCACATACGCAAGGGCCTTCTCTGCAATGCGGATGGCTCGTTGCGGCGCCTTCGTGCTGAGAGAAGCAAGCACACAAGCAGTGAAAGCTAAGTCAGGCCGAGTGCGTTGGCTTAGCCACAGGATTTCTCCAGTCAGCCTCTGTGCTGTTCGAACGGTCTCCTCGGTTGGGGACTCGTCCGTCAGGAGAGTGTCAAACGAAACAAGGTCACGCGGACAGGGGACCTTACCTAGTGCAGTGGGCTTCACGTCGTTGAGACGCAGCAGCTCTTCTGCGTAAGCCTGCTGGGACAACACAAACCCGGAACCTTGCACTAGGATTTCAACCCCTAAAAACCTCAGCGGGTGCTCTGCGGTGGCAAGTGCGAGAGGCGTCGTCTTCCAGATGCCTTGGATGGCCGTGGCCAAGGCTTCGATTACCTCTTTACTGCCTGCCAGCAAAAAGTCGTCAACGTAAGTGAGCAACCCTCCTACGACTACCCCGTCAGAGGTGCGAACAACACGCCACCAGTTTGGGTCCAACCTTCCTTGCTGGAGCTGCAGTTCAACTCCGTCAACAACACACCTCAGCGCCCGAAGTTGGCAGTCTCTAAAGTCCGACCAAAGCTTAGGCGACTCCCTCAACCCGTACACAGCGTGCGTGAGGATCCAAAGCTCCCCTTCCTCTGCCAAACCTAGTCTCACTAGCAACCTAGGCGGTGTGAGAGCAAACACTGGAAAACCTCTGCCTTGCGGGATTGGGGTCAACAGAAAAGCTGAGGTGACATCTAGAGACCCGATGCACCAATTCCTCTTGGAGCTGATGATTACAAAACAACGGAGTGTCTCTGCAGCAGCACCTGAAGCGTAGACTTCAGACCCTGTGCCGGGGGCGTGGTTGCCACAAGCGACCAAGCGAGCCTTGCGTTTGTGGTAAGCTTGACCCTTCCGGGTAGCGAGGGCAGCGTCACCCTCAGAAGGGTCTGGTGGCTTGACTGTAAACACAAACTTAGACGGAACTACCTTCACTTCCTTACGCCTAAGCCAACCTCCCGAACGGACCTCTGCAGGGGGCAGTCGCCGCACAGCCTTCTCAATGACACCGATCTCTTTGTGAATGGACGGCATCCACTTCTCGATGCATTGCTCTGCATCCCGAGGGTCTACAGTGTGGACTACCTGCAGTGGTTCTTGCAACCCGTCAAGCAACAGCTCCACGTTGGTAGTGTAAACCGGCTCAGACTTGCAAAGGGCGCAAGCTTCACTCGCGTCCGAGTCGTCAGACCTGAGAACACACAGCTGCTCACCTGTCTGCGGGTCTGGAACCCACAACTCCCACAGCACTGGTTGCTCCGGCAAGGAGTCTTCGCTTGAGCTCTCCTCCTCCTCAACCTGTGTCTCGGTGTCTGGTTGGCAAGCCAGCAGGGCGTGCTCAGACTGGGTTCGCCTGTGGTCCGGCGAGTGTTTCAGGTTCCACGACACCTCCAGCTCTACAGTACCTGCTTCTACGGCTTGGGTTTCTTTCCAACCTCCGCCTTTAAGCACAGTCCCAGGCGCTAACTCAGAAGTCTTCCCGTCAGGGTGACGTGCCTTTGTCTCCTGAAGGGGCTCTTCTTCGAAGCAGTCAAACGCGTCTAGACGTCTCACGTCTTGCTGCTCAGTCAGCGGTAAACGTACCGACGCTGGGAGTGGAAAACCTAAAGCTTCAAGGCTTTGAAACTCGTGCTCAAGCTCTTTGCCTAACGTGTTGACAGTGTAGCCGACAAGCACTGCTCTCTCACCCTTCCAGGGAGTGGTGGCGTGGCGGCGAGTAGGGTCTAGGAAGAAGGGCTTACCGCGCTCTAACTTGTGAGTTGTCCCCAACCAGCGCCTGCCTTTGCCGTCTACCCGCTCCTCTACAGGGCCACTGACTAGGTCACCAGGCTTGAGTTCTATCCACAAATCCCCTCCGTTAGGCGGGAGCTTCAAAGGGAGGACTACATTTGTGGATCCCTGCAGGTTGTGGTGGTCGGCGTGCACGGGTTGAACAGTGGAGTTAGACAACCAAAGCGAGGTGTACTCTGCTGTGGGTGCAACTGCCGAAAGCACCATATTCATAAGCTCTGTCAGCCAAGGCTTATCTGTGGTACCCCCTAAAACTCCTACGACACCTCCGTGACGGTACAACCCAGCTTTGTGTTGCAGCTGGGGCGCTGCTCTGCACACTTCGGCTAACACCCACAACGCTTCATCAAGGTCCCAGTCGTCCTCGATAAGCTCCGTAGCTAAACCTTCAAGGTCTTGCAGACTCAAGCGCGCTACACGGGCAGACTCCTCCTCAACCGGTGACACAGGCCCTTCCGGGTGTGGAGCTTCTGCTGGCGGCGGCAAGGGGGGCGGCGGGTCAAGTGCAAAGACGTCGTCAAGTCTCACACCAGCAGACCGCTTGCCGCGAACCCTGCGTGGAGGTGGTGTGTGCTCCTCCTCAAGCGAGTCTCCTACAAACTGCAAGGGCGGTGGATCCGGAGAAACAAGGCGGGTGCGAACATGGAGTGTTTGCACAAAGCCGTTGCCAACACCATCGCTGCGCAACACGATGTGACCATCATTCACAGATGGTGACAACCCCATATACTTACCTTCAACCCATCTATCCTCCAAATCACCCTTCTTGCTAAAAAACTTTCGCTTCACGGAACACTTCCCTCCGAAATGGATGGCAAGTTTGGACTTCATGCCCAGCTGCTGCGCCCGTTGCTGAGCCGCAGCTGTCATGATTGCACAAGGCCACAAGGACGAGTCAACCTCGCCAGAGGTGAGAAGGGTTCGTGCTCGTGCTTTGAGCCAGCGCACGGTGTTCTCAGCAGAGCCGTTCTGCTGCGGAACGTCCCCTTCTGTTGTTGTTGTGCGGACTCCACGCTCGTGAAACCAAGCTCGAGTCCTTTTGTTGAAGAACTCACGACTGCGGTCTGTGTGGAAACGAAGCACGGGGAGGTTTAGGGACCTTAGGGTAATGTACACCTGTTGGAGGGCATTGAGGATATCATCACCCTTGTTTGTGTGAAGTGGCACTGCAAACACCAGCCTCGCCATGTCAGGCGGTGTTTCGAGTTCACACCTGGCTGACTCCCAGGGATGCTCCTCGGCAACTTTGGCTGCAAACTCCCTAGGCCCTTCAACTCCTTCACCTTCCGCCTCCTCCTCTTCTTCCGCTAAACTTGGCTCGTACAGGGAGTCCTCGTAATCCTCGCACGGGGGGCCTTCTGCTGCGGGAAAGGCCTCATCTGCAAGGTCATCCGTCCCTCCCGGGAGGAGTGCTGCATCATCAAACCCCTCGGTTTGGCTGGGGTCTGACTCCTCCTTCACTCCTCTGAGCCGTGGGAAGCGGTACGACACAGCGAGGAAGTACTTGAACGTGGCTGGTCGGTGGTTGCGGCTTTCTGGGTCTTTGCCCTTCACACGGATGGGCCCCGCAATGTCGGCTGACATGCAATACACATCCGGGTGAACTACACGGTGGTGGCGGCGGCCGTTTCCGGCACCGTGCACGCAAACTGCACAATCACGGCGGTAAGGCACGTGATTGTTCGCAACATGCTGTTCCCAATCCGCTTGGGTGAATTTCATGAGGCGGTAACATGGCCACCGTTGGAGTGCGTACACGATGGCTTGCACAAACCCCGGCGCCCACACTGGAGACACACGGTTGTCGGCGCTAGAACAAACCTGCGGCACCTCCCCCTGCAACGCTTGCAAGTCTCTAAGGTCGGGCAAGTTTGTGCCAACAGTTGTGGGTTTATCGCCAGCGTGCCCCAACGGACCTTGACGGAAATGCACCTCAAACAAACCAGCCTCTTCAGCGTAAGCTTGCCACAGCGCGGTGTTCCAAAACGACGGAGCGCTACCCACAGCAGAATGGCTTGAAGCCATGTGGTGTTCAACCGACGGTTGCTCCAACATGAATGCCACCATGGATGTTCCATTCGATGGGTTTGGGTGCACACGCCTCCCGGCGGTGGAGAGTGCATGCAACCACAACATGCGAGCATACAAACCCGTATCGCGATCAACGAGATCACGCTCGTCAGAGGTGAGAGTGCTCAGGCCAAACGGTTCAGTGGGCGAGCGGAGTGGATGTGGTCCATCGGCGCGGTGCCCTGTCATGGACCACGTGCGGGTTGGTGGACCTCCAATGACCGCCGCAACTCGTCCCAACTTTGCAACCTTAGCAAGAAGCGTCCAAAGCGGATCATGGTAAAGATCTTGGCTCCTTGAGCGGCAAATGTCAAGCTCAACAACAACTGTATCCTGCGACTCCAATCGTTTGAAAGCCTTGTGCGAGCCAGGGCCCGCAAACAAGTGAACAACCCAATTGGATGCTCGATGAAGCGCCTTCCTCCTTCGCCGGTTGAGGTTTGGCATGCCTTCTTCAAGAGCCTTCCACAAAGTCTTGGAGTCCACATCTTCCGATGGGAGTATGCCTGACAATGCACGGTCGGGCACATCCTGAAAGAATGGAGCTGTTGACACTGCCATGTGGCCCGATGCTGGCGCCGACGAGCTCACATGCTCAACCAAATGATCCCACCACGTGCGCTCCATTGCGATTTTCGCCTGTCTGATGCGATCCTTCCCCTCATCCGTTCTTCGCCTGAGCTCCTCAACCTGTTGCATTTTGTGTTCTTCCAACCGTGATATCAGCGTAAGGGCTTGGCTCTCAACCAATTCCGGGCAACCATTTTTGACCCTAAGCCTCAACGACTTACCATCAGGAGGATACAGCTTGCAACTACCGGCGGACCAAACCAGCTTATACCCCAACTGCTCTATGATAGCACCCATGGGAACAATTGGCTGCACTAGGCCGTCCCTTCCGGGTGGCAGTAGGAGAGTGCCCGCGCGTGTCAAACGCATGATTGTGCTTTGGTCGCCGGCTAGACTCACTTGCACTTCCTCTGCGGTCTCCCACTCCTCCTCAGATGAGGCTTGTCGCATGGGGTGACTGGCACCGGAGTCGAGAAGGGCGTAGCCAATGAGAGGTGGTTGGGATGCAACGGGTGATGGCTCCACAGCGGGCTCAACGGCAGGAGAATTCAAAATTTCCCGGTTTGGGGGGCCCGAAACCGGGAAACAACTTGAGGGCATGACGGAGCGAATCGTGAGCCTCTTCACCGAAGGATTAGGTGCCGAGGACTGTTGTGATGCAGTACTTAAGCCTTCCGGCTGAGGCTGAGGCGGATCGCTACGCGGTGGCTGGGCCTCGAGCTGCCTCAAAGCTTGGACTGCCTGTTGCATAAAGGACTCGAGCGTGACGGGCATGCCATTCGCGATAGGTGTAGCCTGCACTGGCGCTTGAGGTGTTGATGCTGATGGTGATGTTGCATCCTGTGCTGCTGCTGTGGTCCTTTGCACCGTGGGCTTATCGGGTGATTTGGCATCGGACTTCGCGCCCTTGCCAACGGGACAATCCTTTGCACGATGCTCCTCAGAGCCACACACCAAACACTTTTTAAACCGCTCAGCCTTAGAGAGCTCGGTCATGGAATGTGGGAATTTGCACTTAGGGCCATTTCTACACCCCTTCCGGGAGAGAAAGAACTTACACGGCTTGGCACCTGCTCCTCCCGAGCCTTTCCCCTGCCCCTGAGGTTGGTTTCCACCACCTGGTGCATCTGTGGTTGCATTCAACGCTTGGGCTTTGGGATTGGTGACTACGCGCTTTGAGTCCAGTGCCCCAGCCATGGTTTCAAACTCACCCAGCAAATGCTTGTGGTAGTCTAAAACCTCTTCTCCCGATGGGTGCAGATCAATGTGCAGTGCACTACGCACGATTTGAGTGCGGAACTGCACATCTGGGTGTTTGGCTATGTGTTGGGCTGTTACCGTGGTTAAACCACGGGCCAGAATGGACGGATCAGGGGCTACCATCCCGCACTCCAAACAACGACGATGCCAACGACCCCACGACCTCAACAAGTTTACTCCTGCAACCACTTCCGTAAACTGCGGTGGATCATGCAAGTTCCTGAGTATGAGGTCGCGCTCATTGGTTCCACCTGGCTGGTAAATCGTATGGAGGCGGAACATGATGTGTGCTGCATTTTGAGTTGCCCTGCGTGCTACGATGTCCGATTTCACAGACGCATCCAGTGCTTCCAACAGCATGGCACACGCCCTAGCGTTTACCCTTGACCACTTGCCCTCAACAACCTCCGCCCTATCATCAGGAGCCACCCTCAAACGCTCCACGGGGGACGAAACACTCCAACGGGCAAATGCATCACGCGCCAACTGCAACACACTCGACCACCAAAGTTGAGAGCTGTCCGAAAGATCAACCATCAAGCCGCTCACCAATTCAAGCCAGTCTTGAAACTCCAAGGAGCCACCCGAAGGATTAGGCGCAACGAGTTTTGGCAAGGTGGTGATCCCTGGTTTAACCGTTTCGGGCACATCATCGCCTTTAACCTTGAGCTGTTGAGCCTGTAGGCTTTGCAGCTGTTGCACCCCCAAAACCAGAGCATCCAACACTGAACTTGGGGCTTGTGGTGTTGTGTCCTGCCCTCCTGGAGTCGATGCAACCTGAGCGCCTACAGCCTGAGAATATGGCACTTGCCCGTCCCTTCCGGGCGGCGGTGGCGGCGGTGGTGGCTGCCCTACGTTGGTGGTAAAGCCATCTAAAACCGGTGGATTGGCTGGTCCACCTAAGCTCGGAGCCCTCAACTGCCCCAAACCCAGGATTTCGGGCTGAGAATGGGGGTTTGGGCCAGAAGAGGCCCGCTCAGGACCTGAAGCGAGTGGAACCTGTGCTGATTGAGCCATGGGCTCTGACGCAGACCCAACCCTTCCGGGTGGTGTAGCACTGCCCGGCAGCCTTTGCGAACCTTGCAAGCCCGACCACAAGTTGGACCAAAACCCTGATGTGGATGCTGGAGCTCTCAGGGCCTCAATGACCTGATCAGCCAAAGTTGGGATGACAGGATTCGCACTTGGAGGCGCAGCACTGGGGAAAGGTTGAGGAGGGATTGGCGGGTGCCCACTAGGGGTCTGCGTTTGGATGCTCCTGGCAAGTGCTGCTTCCCTAATGGCTCGCTCCCTCTGCTCATTCGCCTCTGCTAGTTGCTGCCTTAACCTCTCATTTTCGGATTCCTGTGCCTGCGCTCTGGCCTCAAACCCTGCAAGCTGCCTGGCGACCTCTGCTTGGATAGCCTCCTGGGGTATTGACGACGTCTCCGTACGGCTAGGGGGCCGCTCAGGGGCTGCAGATCTAGGGTAGATGATGGGAGCCCGCTGCTCAAGAGCTTGCATGCGCTGCAGCGTTTCCGCATTAAGTAGCGGGGGTTCCCTTCCGGGACCCGGGGCAAAGGTAGTGGGTGTGCCGAGTGATCCCGGCTGCGGCGGCGAACTACTTGACCCCACACTCCCATCTGCCAAGGCCCTCGCCCTAGATGTTGCACCAGGGCTTGCGTGAACATGTACATGACGTGGCGGTGTCTGGGCCTGCACCTCAGTCCTTGCCACGCGGAACAACTCGGAAACACGAGACATAAAAACACCAGGGATACCCTCAACCATCTCGGTGATGGTGGTCAAACCCTGTTGCGAACGTGGGGTGACAAACCCCTCAACTCCAGGAGCTTCCCCAGTTGACCTTATGCCCCCCAAACCACCATCACCACTTTGGTCTGCAACCTCGCGGTCCTCACTCAAAGTGTCCTGACGGGGCTCAGTGTTGGCCCGTGGTCCTGGGCTTCCGCCCGGAGCTGCAAAGGCAAGTGGCATGCTTCGGGGCATACCCTGCTCAATCCCACCCTCACCGGTGGTCGACACATGTTGCAAGCCTTCTGCTGGGTCTGTGCTAACACGCGCCCTTCCCGCAGCCGAATCAACCACAAAACCCAAACCACCCTCTGTGCGGCGGTGGGTGCATCAGGTGTTGTGGACGTCGCATGCCCTGTGGTGCCATAGCCCTGCGTTGGGCTCATAACCTGCTGGAGTGAACCAGCAGGTTGAGTAGAGGATGCAAGTGGAGTGATCAGGTCCCCTGCAAAACTCAACCCAGCCATAGCTCACACAAGGCGGAGATTTTACGCACAAGAAGAAAGCAAGCAAAAAGAAGTCTGTGCTACTTGGGCTTGGCACCTACAGATATGGTACATGTGTTGTTAAAATGTCATGCTCAAGGCGTTCTGTGCTTGGGCCTAAGAGCAACAAGGAAAAAGATTCCGCATGTACACATAGCAAAGGCTTGCAAACGAGGCATGCACTTCAGCAGTCCGACTATTGTGATCTTCCCTCGCTTGCAGAAAAAACAGTCCATTGCGCTGCTCGTTGCCCCTCGGGGCTTGTTTGTGTTATCCTGCTGTACATGCGATGTTCTGCATTTCATGAGGATATTTCATGCGTACTTTCCTTTTCTTGAAACATGTTACTGTTTTCTCGCAGGGGGCACGGCGCCACAGTTCGAGCCGTGCCAACGAAGCTGAGAACTGTGGTGGATGCACTCAAGGACGCTTGAGTGTGTACCTGCAAAAAGCTGGGGCCGCTGAGCCAGCGAGATTAGCAAAACTGTTTCTTTCGAACAAGGCAGGTTTGCAGGTTTGATCATGTTTTTGCTTGTTCTGAAA